ATTTCTTAGGTGGTCCTGGGTCCTGCTGGGTTGACAATATAAACCATTGTGCCCATCATGACTGGCTGTACTCTTAACGTGAGTCAAAGCAAACCAAACCAAACAAACAACAGCAAAACCCAAAACCAAACAAAAACCAAAACAAACCATCCTTAAGCTGCTTTTGTCGCTCCCCCCCCCACCCCCCAGGGATGAGAAAATAAAATACCTAATACACAGGGTTTCTGACCACCAGTTCAATTCGGAGTCAGACAATGGCTTCCTTCTCAGGGCGACTCCGGCTTCAGCATTCTGGAGCTTTGCCGGGAGATAACGAGAGAGATCTTTCTCCAGAGTAAGACAATTGTGCCTGTTTCAGTAACTCCCCAGCCTGCGAGACTTGGGAAACCTCCCAGAGCTGGAATCTCAGCATCTTTTAAGAGTGTTCCGAGACTCCCTTCCGAGCTTATCCCGTGCAGAGGGAGCCTCCCTGCCCTTCCAGATAGGAAGCGAGGATGGCAGATGTCAGGATAATTTGTTTCCGTCTGTACGTGATTGTAGCCCGGTTTTTACGAGCTTCCTCTCACGTTGATGTCCAGTAGTCTTCCAGGGTCATCGGCCTCGGAGTGTGGCTATAGAATTGGTATTTCCTGGTGGAGGAGGAGGTTCTGCCCTCTGGGAGTCTGTCTTTCTCTTCTTCTACCCCCTTTGTTCTCATCAACATCCTCTCCCTCTCATTTTCTGTCCCTCCTCCACCTTCATTCCCCCCCCACCAAGTCTTGTTGTGCAGCCTTCAAATAAAACTTACTAAATACCTGAAGCTGTCTTCAAATTTGAAGTTCTCCTGCCTTGACTGGGTTTACTGATGTGTGCCTCCAAGCCTGCCCTAGTTGTTGTTGTTGTTGTTGTTGTTATTATTATTATTGTCATTATTATTCAAGACAGGGTTTCTCTATATAGTCCTGGCTGTCCCAGAACTCACTGTGCTAACCGGCTAGCTCCCCTGCCTCTGCCTCCTGAGTCCTGGACTGACCAACCAGCTCCACCATTGCTTTTGAACCACTGGTATAAACTTCAACGTAGAAGAAAAAACAAATCACATCCTAGCATTGCTAGAAAAAAAAAATCTCATGGGTATCCTGAAAGAAACTTAGGGCTCTCTAGGGACTCATATTTGGAGACTTGTACTCTATATTTAAAAAACGTTTTCCATTATTTTTAACTGCGTGTAGGTGTGTGTGCTTACATGCGGGCATGTGCACAGGAGTACAGGGTCCCGTGGAAACCAGAGGTGTTGGATTGCCTAGAGCGGGCATACAGACGGTTGTGAGCTGCCTGATGTGGGTGCTGGGAACTGAACCTGGGTCCTCTGGAAGAGCAGCAAATGCTCTTATTCACTGAATCATCTCTCCAGCCACCTTCTGCTTTTATTTGTTTAAGACATTGGCTTTATTCATTTTGTTAATTAGACAAAGTTGGAGTTTATTAGATCACACTTTCAGCACAGATTTTTAAGCACAAGGACTAAGAGAAAGAGAGGTTATGGGAAGAAGGTAAGACTCCTGAGAGAGAGAGAGAGAGAGAGAGAGAGAGAGAGAGAGAGATAGGTGTGGGCTTTTCAGAGAGTTTCGATCATGTGATTAAGAATTATGGTTTTAGTCAAAGTTTTTGAGGGTGGGTTGGTGTTCCTCTCCCTCCATTAGGAGTCCTGTCTAGTTAGTGGGTGTCTTCTTCAGTAAAATTTACCCTGCCTGCAAGATGTGCAGGGATAAAGATAGAGCAGAGATTGAGGGAATGTCCAACCAATGCCTGGCCAAGCTGAGGCCCACCCCATGGGAGAGGGCCAACCTCTGACACTGGTAACCATATTCTGCTCTGCTTGCAGACAGGAGGGAGCCTAGCACAGTTGTCCTCTGAGAGGCTCCACCCAGCAGTGGATCAAAACAGATGCTGAGACTCACAGCCGAACATTGAGTGAGGCATGTGTAGTCTTGTGGAAAAGTGAGGGGAGGGATAGAAGGACCTGGAGGTGCCAGGAGCTCTACAAGAAGACCAACAGGGCCAACAAACACGGGCCCAGAGGGGCTTGCGGAGACTGAAGCACCAACCAGGGACCATGCATGGACTGGACCTAGGCTCCCAACACAGATGTAGCCAATGGGTGGCTCCAGTTTCATGTAGGATCCCTAGTAAAAGCTGGGGCCATCTCTCTGTTGCCTGCTTTTCAATCACTTTCCCCTGGTGGGCTGCCTCACCAGGCTACAGGGAAAGAGGATGCACTCAGTCCTGATGCAACTTGATGTGCTGGGGTGGGTTAGTGGAGTTGGGGGGTGGGGGGGAAGCTCTGCTTTTCTGAGGAGGAGGAAAGTGAGAATAGGGGAAAGATGAAGGGAGGGTGGGACTGGAAAGAGAGGAGGGAGGGGATGTAAAGTGAATAAATAAATTACAAGAATTAATAAATTACGAGAATTATAAGAATTAGGCTTATAAATACAAAGCTTGCATTTGTGCTTTAGCACACTTGCCACAATGTCACCAGCTGTGCAGTGGTAATCACTGTGAGGCGTTTTTTCTTAAATAGCAGGCAGAGGCAGGTGGATCTCTGAGTTCAAGTCCAGCCTGGTTTACAGAGCAAGTTCTCTTTTTTGCAGAGGACCTGGGTTTCCTGGCACTCACATGGCAGCTCACAAGTGATTGTAATTCTAATTTCAGGGCATCCAATCTCATTGATTGTGGGAGGACCTATCCCATGTGGGTGGTGGTCCTGGGCTGGTGGTCCCGGGTGCTATGAGGAAGCAGGCTGAGCAAGCCATGGGGAGCAGGCCAGTAAACAGCACCCTCCATGGCCTCTGCATCAGCTCCTGCCTCCAGGTCCCTGCCTTGTTTGCATTCCTGGCCTGACATCCTTTGATGAACATGATGTAGAAGTATAAGCTGAATAAACCCTTTCCTCCCCAATGTGCTTTTCTGTCATGGTGCTTCATTACAGCCACAGAAACCCTGACGAAGACACGGGCTGTGCATCAGATAATAATCTTGAACTCCTGCTCCTCCTGCCTCTGCCCCTCCCCTCAAGAGCTGAGTTTATACACATATGCTGCCAAGTCTGGCGTTTAACCTTATATTCTGAGAATGGGTGGTTATAAGAGGTTTTGAAACAATCCCCTTTTTGAGTATTATTGATTGCAGATCAGGACTGAAAAATCTTGGTAATGGCTAACATAAAGATTCTACTAAGAGCTGGGGTGTGGTGGTGCACCCTTGTAATCCCAGCACTCTAGGAGGCAGAGGCAGACAGATTGCTGTGAGTTCAATGCCATCCTAGTCTACAAAGAGAGTCCAGGACAGCCAAGGCTACACAGAGAAACCCTGTTTTGAAAAACCAAAAAAAAAAAAAAAAAGATTCTGCTTAGGCTGGGCCTTGGTGGTGAGAACCTTTAATTCTAGCACTTTGGAGGCAGAGGCAGACAGATCTCTATGAGTTCAAGGCCAGCCTGGTCTACACAGTGTGTTCCAGCACAGCCAAAGCTACACAGAGAAACCCTGTCTTGAAAAACCAAAATAAATAACAACAAAAAGATCCTACTAAATATATATAGAAAATCATGCAGTGGAAAAGAGGCCATTTGTGAGAGAATCTTATTTAACATCAAGGAAAAATTTGACAAACTTATACAGTAGTGTTGACTAATCCCCAGGCATGAATGAAACAGAACCACTCTTTGTTTTTATTTTGTTTCACCTTATACATATTAAAAAAAAAATCCTTATGGGGGTTGTAGAGATGGCTCAGCAGTTAAGAACATTTGCTGTAAGCTGGGCCTGGTGGTGGCAGGCAGGTGGAGGCAGAGGCAGGTGGATCTCTGAGTTCAAGTCCAGCCTGGTTTACAGAGCAAATTCTCTTTTTGCAGTGGACCTGGGTTTCCTGGCACTCACATGGCAGCTCACAAGTGATTGTAATTCTAATTTCGGGGCATCCAATGTCATCTTCTGACCTCTAGGGTACCAGGCTTGCACACAGTACACACATATACACACACAGGCAAGACACTCAAATGCATAAAACACAAATACATAAATCCTTTCAAAAAGGTTTCATATGTTTAGTATCTTTGCACTGTACTCAAAAGTAGGTTAGCATGGCCTTCCCAAACTGTTCTGTTTAGAAATCAGCACAACACATTCTTCTGTACTCCCTTGTTCCCAAATGTTGCAAATACAGTCGATATTAATTTGGTCCAAATCTGCAGATAGTAAGGGAGAGCATTTCAGCCTCCGAGTCTGTTCAGACTCATTTCACAGCTGAAACCCAGGGCAAGTAAGTCACTTGATATTTCTGGGTCTGAAGATCTTAGATGTCCTTTAAGTACTGCATGAGGTAAATCATCTGGCACAGTGCTAGGTGCATGAAGATGCTTTGTAAATGAAAAAAAAATTGGGTTTGGTTTGGTTCCTAAAGAATTTGTGTAGATTTTGGGAAGCCTCCTTTCCTTTTGCAATGTCCCTAATTTCGCCTCTTTTCATTTCTCCTTCAATGGCTGAGTTTTGATACTCCAGCCTCAGGCTTACGCTCCTCTGGGAATTGAAGTCATTCTTAAGAGTCTCCCTTCTTGTTCTTCTGCTTCTTTTTCTCATGCTCAGAGCCATTTAAATGGAGGACTGAGAATAGTGTAATGCATGTACGGATTGTTACAGTGAAATTCATTGCTAGCTGAAACAATCCATAATCTCAGTACACTCTTGATTTTGAAAGAGCTTATCTTTTTTGGTTGTTGTTGTTTTGGGTATTATCGGTTAAACAATGGTACTTTATATACTGACTACTGACTACTTTTTTGAGCACATACAAGCTTGTTTAGGATGAAAGCTCCAACTTCAAACAGGTCAAAGTTGTGAAAAGAATGACAGAGTTTGTGGTATCTCTATATTGGATTCTTTAATGGTCTAAGGTTAAAGAATATGATCTTTGTAGGTGGAATTGACAAATCTTTCTCTCTTTATTTCAGCCTTTTCAGTCTGGGATGGCAGAAAAACCAATGAACATGTTGACACAAACAAATAACAATGACGATACAGTTAAGTACATCTTTCATATATAACTATGCATTGTGTACTTTAGTAAGTGGTTTCAAAATATTGACTATAAGTTGATTCAGGTCTGGATAGCAAAAGAGGCTTGCAATTTTTGAAAATGAATGAACTTCACTATTGATTATATTTAAATGTAAATGATGGTTTAAACAATTGTTAACATGTTTCTTGACACTATTGATCTTTGTGTGTGTATGTACAAAACAGTCTCATTTAAAAGCAAAGGAAACTTAATCAAAATTTAAAGTCTCTCTAGGGGTATTATCAGTTTTGTATCACTGTTGCAAAACACTTCATGGAGAAAGATGTGCAGAGACCCATTCATTTCTCCTCCACTATTCAATTTGTCTCCACCCCTCTGCACCCCACCTCACCAGATGGGAATATCGAGGAAGGGTGGGAGACCCTGTTACCAGTGTGAATTCTGCCTCTCTGACAGCTACCTGTGTTGACCACAGAGCCTCTAAGACCAGGGAATTCTAGTTAATCAGTCTCTAGCCAGATGAGTAACTGGAAAAGATTTTCTCCTATTCTGTAGTTTGTTTCTTCACTGTCAATCATTTTCTTTGCTGGGCAGAAGACGTCTAATTTATTGCAATCTTAGCTATCGATCTACCTTCCACAGCTCTGATATTCTGGGACTTAGTTCCCAAAAGCAGTTGCACAGAATGACATGCAACATCTCTTTCTGAAGTCCTCCAGCTGGCTTTCTGAGCCACCAGTCTTAAAGCGAAACAGTCCTTCTTTATGTGTGTCAGACCAGTTTCTCACTGCACGAAGTTCTCAGTGGGTTTTAGCAGGTGTTTCCCACCATGGGTGAACTGCTGAGGGCTCCCAGTGGAAAGGAAGCAAGGAGTCGTGACTCCTAGAGAAACAAGTCCAGCGTCTTCTCAAGAGAGTGCCCCATTGTGCCATTAGAAATGTCATCTTAGAAACTTTTTTTTTAATTTTTAAAAATATTATTTATATACTATACTGCTAGTTCATGTGCCTGCATGCCAGAAAGGGGCACCAGATCTCATTATAGGTGGTTATGAGCCATCATGTGGTTGCTAGGAATTGAACTTAGTACCTTTGGAAGAACAGCCAGTGTTCTTAACCTCTGAGCCATCTCTCCAGCCCAGGTACTTTTTTTTTTTTTTTTTTTTGACAGTTTCTCTGTGTAGCTCTGGCTGTCCTGGAACTCACTCTGTAGATCAGGTTGGCCCAACTCATAGATCCACCTGCCTCTGCCTCTTGCATGCTGGGATTAAAGTTGGGCACCACTGTGGGCCTGGCCGGACTCAGAGCTTCTCGAGAACCAGTTTCCCTGGAGATCCCATTGCCACTGTCTGAAGAGACAGCATTTCAGCACAGCCCACTCGTGTGATGGGTCCACTTAGGTTTTCCCTCATCTCTGACCATGCTCTCTGCCGTGAAGCTGCATAATCAGCTCCAAGGCGCCCTCTGCTTCACTGTCTAAGGCCTCTTGACTTTCTCCAAGCTTGTCTGAACTTTTTTGGCAGTTCTCCAGTTGTTTTGATTCAACCAGCAGGAGAAACTGGTGAGTGCTGAGTGCCCTAAACTGTCATCCTGGTTTTTAATGTCCTTTTGTATTTTTGTGAGGTCTGGTTTAACATATCCCTTTTCATCTTTAATTTTAGTTTTGTTTACCATAGTCTTCTGTTTACTGCTTCAGGAGCTGCTGGTAACACATCCCCATCAACAGATTTCAACTCAGAAGTGCCACCAAGCTCTGAGATTAGAGATGTGTGCCACCCCACCTGGCTAAAATTTTTCTTTAGTCAAGATGTTATGTCTAGGCTGGTAGCTGAGGCTGGCCTGGAACTCCCGATCCTCCTGCTTTGAGGTCCTGAGTGCTGGGAACACAGCTGTGTACCACCATATCTTCCTTAGGTTTTCTTAATATAGATACACACTACAGCAATATTAAAATTTTCTTTAATATAGAAAAGCCACTACTATTTTAGAATAAAACCATGGAGTTTCTCATGGCGTTGTTGTTTTTTTTTTTTTTTTAATTGTGTGATCAGAGGTTGATTCGATTTACTTATAACAATAACATCAACATCTATGTGGGTTGTTTTTGTTTCACTTCATACATTTGCATGGAGAAGACAATACAGGGATAACCAGCCCTGTTTTTTAAAAATATAATCAGTGTTGTCTTTTCAAATGATGTTTTTTTTTTTTTTTTTTTTTTTTTCTGATTCTAACGAGACTGCTTTTATTTCTCTTCTATCGAAGCAAAACGAGAACATCCGCTGCTTAACCACTCTTGGACATTTTGGGTTTGAATGTTTGCCCACTCAGCTGGTGAGCAAATCTATTCAGAAAGGATTCTCTTTCAATATTCTCTGCGTGGGTAAGTGCCAAACACTGCATTTAAATTATAGTTTCATTTGTCTCCTACTCACTTAAACTGATACCAAACAGCAGTAGATTGATGCTAATTCAAGACAATTTCTTCACATTTATATTGTTTTTCCTCCCCTTAGTGGCACTGTTTAAATATTGAAGAACACTTCAGCCTAGTTTAGTGGCAAATGTCTTTAATCCTAGCATATAGGAAGCTGAGCAGGCAGATTTCTGTGTGTCTTAGTCAGTGTTCTATTGCTTTGAAGAGACACTATGACCACAGCAATTCTTATATAAAAGAAAAGCATTTAAGTGGTGTTTACTTACAGTTTCAGAGGTTTCGTCCATGATCATCAGGCAGAAAGCATGGTAGTATGTAGGTAGACAAGGTGCTGGAGAGATAGCTGAGAGTTCCTGATTCATAGGCACCAGGAAGAGAGAGAGTCTGGACCTGGATTGCACTTTTAAAACCTTGAAGCTCAAGCTCAGTGACATACTTCTTTCAACAAGGCCACACCTTCTAATCCTTCTCAAATAATGCCACTCCCACTTAAGCCACTTGTTGGGGTTCAGTGTGCTCACTCTCTCTCTTTTTCTAAGATAGGGTTTCTCTGTGTAGCCTTGGCCATCCTGCACTTGCTTTGTAGATCAGGCTGGCCTTGAACTCACAGCGATCCACCTGCCCCTGCCTCCTGAGTGCCAGGATTAGAGGTGTGTGCCACCATGCCTGGTTTAGCATACCTTCAATGAGTCTTCAATGATGTGTTTATGTTCATTACAGGAGAAACTGGAATTGGAAAATCAACACTTATCAATACACTGTTCAATACCAATATGAAAGAGAACAAGACCTCCCATTTCTATTCAAAGGTTGGACTTAAAGTGAAGACATATGAACTCCTAGAAAGAAATATTCCCCTGAAATTGACTGTTGTGAAAACAGTGGGGTATGGCGATCAAATCAACAAGGATGCCAGGTTAATGGTTTCTTATTTTTTTAATTAAATTTTAAAGTTAGCATAAAGGCATTGGATGTCATTATGATGTGCTTTTTTATTTTAAAAAATTGGTAGAGGTCACTTCTTTTCTTTTCTTTTTCTTTTGAGACGGGGTCTTTACTATGTAGCTTTGACTGGCCTGGAACTCCCTATGTAGCATCAGGCTGACCTTAAACCCAGAGATATCTGCCTGCTTCTGCTTCCCAAGTGCTGGGACTAAAAGTATATGTCAACAGGCAGTGTGTTTTGTTATTTTATTTAAAATCCGTCACATCTCAATGAGTTGTAACAGCTCTAGAAAAGATTTATTTTTCTCATCTTAGTTGTGTGTGTATATGTGTCACACACACACACACACACACACACACACACACACACACACACACGAATGCAAGGTGCCTGTAGAGACTAGAGGTACCGGAGCCTCTTGCAGCTGGAGTTACTGGAGGTAGAAACCCACCTGATGGGTGCTGGGAACTGAACTTGTGTCCGCTGGAAGAGCAGCATGTGCTCCTAACCACTGAGCCATCTCTTCAGCCCTAAATTGTAAAATCCTTCTATGGGAAATTATGTCTTTTCTCCCTAGCTTTTAACTCTTTCCTCATTAAGTAATATCCTTGTGAAATTGATGCTTTTATGTATCTAGTGTAGTTGTATTATGTAAAGATTTTATTTTATGTAAATGAATGTTTTTGCCTGTATGTATGTCTGTGCGCTACATGCTTGCCTGGTGTCCACGGAGGCCAGAAGAGAGTGTTAGATCCCCTGTAATTAAAGTGACACAGAGTTGCGAGCTCCCACGTGGCTGCTGGGAATCAAACCTGGGTGTTCTGGAAGAGTGTGGCAAGGGAGTGGTCTTAGCTGAGCCACCTCCCCAGCCTGCTCTGCCCCAACCCTGCATCTAAACACCATCATGTGAACAGCTCGGATTAGCCAGGACCGAAATATTCATATCACCAAAGCCAGCAAAGTCTTTTTATTATTTCAGTTTGTTTTTAATTTGTTTTTCAAAACAGGGTACCTCAATGTAGCCTGGCTCTCTCCTGGAACTCACTCTATAGACCAGGCTGGCCTCGAACTCAGAGATCTCCCTACCCCTGCCTCCCAAATGCTAGGATTAAAGGAGTGCACCACCACGCCAGGCTTGAAGCCAACAAACTCTAAAAATTAGTGTTTTTTTTTTTTTTTTCTTTACAGAGAAGACTAAATAAATACTCCCCATTATTTTGCTGTTTCAGAATAAGTTTTGAACAAAGACTAGCTAGAATGAAGGAGAGGCGGGTTGCTTTAAGTAGTTATGTTTAGAAAATGAACAACATTTTAGAAATCAGCTTTATTCTAATAAACTCTACATGCTGTTCTGTGGTAGATTAAGACCCACAGAGAGCCTTGCTTTACTGCAATCCACTGTGCTAAACCACCCCAAAATGATGCTTAAAACCATAGAAACTTACTCCTTCACAGCTCTGCAGTCCAAAAATCTAGAACCCAGGTGTCAGGCCTGGCTGTGCCTGTGAGACACTGAAGCAGGAGGATTTGCTGTGAGCTTGAGACCAGCCAGAGCTACTCTCCCAGCTTGGTTTCTGTTGCTGCGAATGGAAAACCGTGACCAAAAGCCACTCAGGGAAGAAAGGGTTAATTTGGTGTCCACAACCCAGGGCACAGTCCACAGAAGGGAAGGCAAAACACAGGGAGGCAGGAACTGAAGCAGAAGCCTTGGAAGGTGACGCTTACTGGACTGCCCTTCCCGTGCCTCGCTCAGCCTGAACTTCAGACACCATCCAGCCATCCAGGCTCCATCCGCAGTGAGCTCCGGCCTCCCACATCCATCCTTAGTCAAGAAAATGCCGGGCAGACTTGCGCATGGGCAGGGTGATTTCTCGGGGGGGGGGGGCATTTTTCTCAGCTGAGTTTCTTCTTCCCAGATAACTGTAGCTTGTGTCAACTTGACAAAAACCCAACCAGGACAGCTACGGAGCCAGCGAAAAATCACTCACAGTGTCTTCTGGAGTCCATCTAGAGCCTTTAGGCAAAAAGTCCTTTGTTTATTACTGCCTCAGGTGCCAGCTGTCAGTCCTGGCTAAGGCACTACCCCGCACAGAAGTCTCTTCTGGTCTTTCTGGTGTCTTGAAGGGCAATTATCACAGGAGTGAAGTGTGTACAGAGCATCCCAATGACCTTGTCTCAAATTTCTGGTTTATTATTATTAATTTATTATTAATTTTCTTCCTCTCGGGTTTTGCTTTTTTAAAAGATTTATTTATTTTTGCTTTTTTTTTTTTTTTTTAAAGATTTATTTATATTATGTATGTGAGCGCACTATTTACACCTGCGCGCCAGAAGAGGGCATCGGATCCCGGTATAGGTGGTTGTGAGCCACCATGTGGTTGCTGGAAATTGAACTCAGGACCTCTGGTAGAGCAGACAATCTTCTTAACCACAGAACCAGCTCCTCAACCCCCCTCTCCAACCCCCCAAACTTTGACTTTACTAGGTAGTTCAGGCTAGTCCTACTCAGAGCCGTCCTCCTTCCCTAGCCTCCTGGTGTTAGGATTCCAGGCATGTGCTGCTATGACCAACTTCAACTTTTAAATTACGACTGTAGCCCCATTTTCCCCGAAATAAAATAACATTCTTTGGGGATCAGGACATGGATATCATGCATTCTACCAACTGAGCTGCATCCTCCCCAGCTTGGAATTATGTTTTATGGCCATGAAATGCATCAATTTTATGAAGTGCCAAACTGTTCAGTGAGCACAGCGTTGATTAAATGCTAGGACATCAGATTGATTGGGACTTTATTAATTCTCTGCTAAATGTTTAATTTTTTTTTTTTAAAGCTACCAGCCACTAGTCGAGTACCTGGATGCCCAGTTTGAAGCGTACCTCCAGGAGGAGCTGAAAATCAAGCGCTCCTTGGCCGACTATCACGATTCTCGAATCCACGTCTGTCTTTATTTCATTGCTCCAACGGGACATTCTCTCAAGGCCTTGGACCTGTTAACCATGAAGAGCATCGACAAAAGGGTATGTTTGATGCCTGCCTCAGTCTTTCAAGGTTCAGTGCATCTTCAGGCATTTATTTATATGCAACTGCCGGCTATCTTATCTGCATATATTTGAATATCTTTTCTCTTGCTCTTGAAAGCACTTGAATGAATTTTCTAGGGCGTTCCTGACAAAATGCCATAGAGTGGATGGTCAAAATAAATTTTAAAAAACCATTTTTCACATAGTCCTGGAAGCTTGAGTCTCAAGGTGCCAATAATTATCTCCTTGGCTTGCAGATGGCTGGCTGTGTCTTTACTTTTTTTCCACATAGCCTGCCTTCCGGTGTCTGTGTGTACAGCATTTTTTTTTTTTTTTGAGACAGGGTCTTATGTATCCCAAGCTGGCCTTGAACTCATTATGTAGCTGAGGTTGGCTTTGACCTCCTGATTTTCCTTACTCGGTTTTTCCAGTGGTGGGATTAAAAGTATGTGCCATTACACTAGTCGAAATTTCTCCTTCTTAGAAGGTTGGTAAGCAACCCCACTATGCCAATCTTAACTTTAGAGTTTCTATTTACAAGTAGTGAAACATTTGGAGGTATAGAGGGTTAAGATGTCAATATATAACATGTAGAGGGAGGGAGATTTAATGTTTGATAGGGTTCATCTTCAGCTTTCATTCCGGGCAAATCTAATTAAAACAATGACTGGCATGGGGATGCACACCTGTAATCCCAGCATTTATGGGGATGAGACGGGAGGGTACCTCTGAGTTTGAGGCCAGCCTGGGCTACAATAGTCTACAGGCAGCCTGAGTTGCAGGGCGAGACTTTGCCTCAAACAAACAAGCAAAAACAACAGCAGCAATAGCGGACACAACAACTCCATCACCCCCCCCCCCCCCCCCCCCGTTTTATCTGTTTGGAGAGAGATACGGGAAAAGCACTAAAATAAAACTGGATTTTTTTTTCTGTGATTAAATTCTAATCAGATGACAGTCATTTGTATATATATTTAAAACTGAATTTACTATATGGTGCTATAAAATAATTCTGAGAACCTTTGACTGCTACCATTGATGAAATGAAACTTGAAACTTTTCTGATTCTGGCTTCAGATTCTCTCAGAGGAGCCTCAGAACATGGAACATGCAAGTAGCTGCAGCCCGCTGTGTAAAAGGAGACCCCAAAGCAAAACCTGTGGGATCCGAAGAGACATATGGACTTGCTTTGTTCACAGAGGGGCTTGCTGTGTAGCTCAGGTTGTCCTAGAATTCATGATCCTCCTGCCTCAGCCTCCTAAGTGTTGGGATCATAGATGCAACCATAGCAAGTTGGACTTCCTTTGACAGACTTCTTATCCCCATGGTTTTAGAAAAATCTTCAAGTTTTTGTGAGTCCTTGGTGTAAGGACAAGATAAGAACCTTGCTATAGATGTAAGAACTGACAGTCTAGAGGGAGAGGGCATCCTGTGGTTGGGCATGGAGGGGCTCTAGGCTCATGTCCACGTGGACCTACAATGACTTGCGTAGAATGTGCCACAGGAATGGCTGGCTCCTTAAAGGCGTGCACGATCCTGCATTTCAGCTCCAAAGTGCTCAGCCTGTTCTCCAGGCTGTTCTGAAGCCAGAATCAGAAAAGTTTCATGTTTCATTTCATCAGTGGCACCAGCCAAAGGTTCACAGAATTATTTTATCATACCATATAGTAAATTCAATTTTAAAAAATGTCTACAAATGACTGCCATCTGATTAGAGTGGATAGCAGTCGCTTTACGGAAGAATTAGCTGAAGGCTAGGTTCGTCGCATGCATAAGGACAGTGGGATTGGACAACGGGTGATGGGTGTTTTAGCTCAAGTTTTCTCAGTCTCTGTAACACCTTGAATTTAAAGTTTGCATCTGCTTCTATGAGAACGCTAAGTTTTTAATCGTAAAAATGACCATTTATAATGTAGTTTCATAAAGACATATGCGAAATGGTCAGAACTTTTACCAGAATACTTTCATTTCTGACCTTATATATGTCACTGCTTGAATTTCTTGTGAGAATATATTCTTGTAAACAGTCAACTAAATGAATGCATATATATAAGAAGTTTAGATTAAGTTCTGTTCATTTGATTACATTTTCTAGTCATTTACTAGATCTCCCTCCCACCCCACCCCCCGTTAGTGGTTTTGGAAAAACACAGGATTTGCCTACGGATTTGAAAAAATGTGATTTGAGAATTCTAAAATAAAAGCAACTGACTTAAAGCTGATATTTATTTATACCATATCACAGACTTGAACAGAAATAGCTATGACTTAGGTAGAGCAAAGATGTATGAGAGATAGACATTGGTTACTATGCATTTATGGAGAAATTATTACATCAATGACAGCTAAGAGAAAAACTTTCCCACCATTTTGATGAGAGCCCTTTTCACCATTCAGTTTGATAAGTAATCGGTCTACTGAACCTTACAGCTTAGATTATGCTAATTCCAGAGGCGCTGAGGGTGCGCGATTTTTAGAAACGAGACAAGGTTAAGACTTCTAAAGCCTGAGTTCTGAGAAGAGACGAGGGCTCACAATACAGCTCAGGGTAGAACATTTACCCAGAACAGTCAAGGCTTGAGGTTTAATCCTCAGTACTTCCACAAAACCAGAAATTCTCTGTGGCTGAGCCTGACGGGGCACTCCTCGCCGAATGCCATTGAAGGTCTTGTCACAGCAGCAGTAGCAACAAACCACGCCACAGCTTTTTCCAGGTGTAGAGGGTTTAGACTGAAAATGGTGACAGTTTTTCCTTCTTCACAGGTGAACATCATCCCACTGATTGCCAAAGCCGACTCACTTTCCAAAAGCGACCTGCAGAGGTTCAAGAGTAACATCATGAGTGAACTGGTCAGCAGCGGCGTCCAGCTGTATCAGTTCTCGATCGATGACGAAGCCACTGCTCAAGTCAGCAGCTCAGTAAACGTAAGCTTCGTCTGCTGAGCAGGCGCTCTCTCTCACATGCGGGGAGGAGGTACAGTGTGTATTGTTTCCTGTGCTTTATTGACACTTGTATCTGGCAAGAGCCAACAGACACTGTATTTTTCCTCAAAATACATTGTGAGGGAAGCGTTTTGTCCCCTCCCCTCACAACCCCTCCCTTTGTCCTCCCTCCTACTTTCTTGGAAGGGTTTCATGTGACCCAGGTTGTCCTTGAATTTACTGTGACATAGATGAGGCTGACCTGAAAGCCCCAATTCTCCTAATTTCTCCTCTTGAATACTGGGATCACTGTTGGAGGGTTGTATTGTAGATAACCTGCTGGAACTGGAGTCCACAACTCAGCATTTATGTTGGTTTTGGCTTTCTGTAATAGTTTTTATCTGTTGCAGAGACAAGTTTCCTTGATGAGGGGTGAGGACTACACTTCTCAGAACAAATATTTAGGTGGCAGTTAGAGATAAAGCTGGCTTAGTAAAGTGGTGGTTGTGGGTTCTTCTCCAAGCTCCATGATTGCGCTGGGCCTGGGTGGTTGGCTAGGTCTCAACCACCCGACATGTTTCCTTCTTATTAGTCGGAGCTTAGTCCAATTAGAGAGCCGTTGGCTCCCGCCAAGGCGTGCCCGCTGCCACTGCACTTTCAGGGCCACTGTTTCACGCTGGGCATTGCGGTTCACTGAGGTCATCGTTGGGAAGGGCTTTTGGAAACCTGCATGATTTCTTCTTGAACCATGAAAGCAAGTCCTCAGAGAGGAAGCTCTCAGGTCAGTTCTAGCTCAGGGGACTCTGCACCCTACATTTAAAGGGCATAGTGTCTTCAGCATCTCTCAGGGGCAACCGAGAGCAATAGGAATAGTCTGTAATGTTTTGGGAGTTCCTTGAAGAACCCTGACCATCAGCTCAAAAGAGGTCTTCTTACGCTTGGCATTGGGGTTTTTGTTGGGTGGTCTTTGGGTAGGGAGCATAGTCAGGCCAGATGGGAAAATAGCGTTTAAGCTGTAGATGTATATTTAGTCACCGACTTATGTATATAATAGGTATTTTCTTATGTGTTTCCTCTTCTAGGTATTTTATGTGAATAAGTCACATGTAATCTTTTTAATCTATTGTCTTCAATTAGATATTTTCCACATTTACAATATTGTACATGTCTCAGTACTTTTATGTGTGTGTTCTCCCGTATACCATTGTGTGAATTGCTACGTTTTTGTTCATTCCACATTTCAGCTAATTATGGAGAATGTTATTATAAACATTTATAGAAAATGTTTGTGTCTGTATACAATTTCTCTTGGGTATATATCTAGAAATAGAATTCTTAGGTTATATGATAACTACATCCAATCATTTGAAGAGCTAGCTATTCTGTTGATTCCCAAAGTACCTGCCCCAGGACTTTTGAGTTCGTTCCTTCACCTTAATTCATACTATATAAATTTAAAAAGATCCGGCTGCCTTACTTAGTATGAGTAGATACTACTGTAGTTTTGATTTGCATTTCGAGTGACTACAGGTGTGAACTGTCTCTTCCTACGTTTATGTATATTTTATGTCTTGAGAGAGACATACATTTAGGCTTTTTGTTCATTTCAGATTGGAATTTTGCCTTTTCCTTATAAGTTATAAGGGTTCCTTGTATTCTCTCTTTTTCTGTTTCATTATTTCCTGTTATGCTGTAAAGTAGCCTAAATCATTCCATCCATCTCTTTTTGTACTCATTATCCAGTCTCTCTTTATAGCCACTAACTCACCCCCTTCCCAAACTCTAGTCATCACTATGATATATTTAAATTGATTTTTTTTGCAGCATTGTGAATTGAATCCTGAGTGTCTCATCCCCAGCCTGAGACTGAATTCTCTCTCTCTCTCTCTCCTTCTTTCTTTCTCTCTCCCTCCCTCTCTTTCAGATAGGGTTTCTCCGTGTAGCCCTGGCTGTCTCAAAACTTACTTTGTAGGCCAGGCTGGCCTCAGACTCAGAGATCCACCTGCCTCTGCCTTCTGAGTCCTGGGGTCACAGACATGTGCTACCACACCTGGCTCTTGAATTTTCAAAATTCTTGTATGAGAGGCTATACAGCCCCTGTTTTTCTGTGTCTGGCATATTTCACTGAACATAGATAGTATCCTCCAGCTCCATTGAATATTAAAAACAATATTTTGTTATTTTATATCATGGGTGATTCGCCTGCATGTCTGTCTGTGTACCCATGACTTGGTGCCCATGGGAGAGAGGAGAGCAGACCCTTTGGAACTAGAGTTACAGATGACTGTGAGCTGCACGTGGGTGCTGGGAATTGAGCTTGGGTCCTCAGGAAGAGCAGACTGTGCTCTTGACCACTGACCCCTTGTCTCTGCAGCCCCCTCCAGCTCCCTTTTGTAATAAGCTCTTATTTACCATTGAGAGTGCGTATAGAGACTATGCCTTCCCGATCCTCTCATCCATCCGTGAACACCTTTTTTTTTTTAATGTCTTAGCTATTATGAATAATGACACAATAAATATGGGTGTTCAGACATTCGTTCGTTACGCCAGTTTCTTTTCCTTTGTATAGCTAGAAATGGGGTGGTTGAATCATATTGTAGATCTATTTTAGATTTTTTTAAAAAGTTTTGTTAACTGCACTGATTGGTATTTATATGGTGTGTGTGTGCTTGTGTGTGTGTGTGCCCGTGGAAGCCAGAGCACAACCTCTGATGCTGCCTTCTGTTTTTGAGGCAGGGTCTCTCACTGGCTCGGGTGTTACCAAGTATGGTGGGCTGGCGGCTGGCAAGCCCCTGGGATCTCTCTGCTTGTTCTCATTTCCTGGGTGCTGCGATTACAAGCACAGGCCACCATGCCTGGTTTTCTATGTGGGATCAGACTCAAGTTCTCCTGCTCACACAGTAGGCACTTTATCAATGAAGCTCTCTCCCTGGCCCTCCTGAAGACATATGTGATATCGATTTTTAGCATATGTTATGCTGTGTACCCATTAACTAATAAAAATCAATTTTTTGAGGCAGGATTTTACTATTTAGCTCAGACAGTCCAGGGGTCACTCTGTGGACCAGCCTGACTTTGATCCACCTGCCTCTGCTTCCTGAGTGCTGGGGTTAAAGGTGTGCAGCATTATGCCCAGCTTAATTTTTATTTTTAATAGTTTTATCTGCTATTTATATATTATTAGTAAGAATGTTCTCTAACTGGGCATGGTGGAGCGTGTCTTTAATCCCAGCATTCAAGAGGCAGAGAAAGGTGAATCTCTGTGAGTTCGAGGCCAGCCTGGTCTACAGAGTGAGTTCCAGGACAGCCAGGGCTGCAAAGAAAGACCATGTTTTGGAAACCTAAAAAGTAAAAAAAAAAAAAAAAAAAGAGGGCTTTATATTAACTCATTAATATTGTCTTTGTGTTTAGTGTAAAGATAATGAGAAAAAATTATGTATATTAACAATTCAATCTTTTTTTTTTTTTTTATCTTTGTACTTCGTGCATCAGGATGCCTTTAGGAAATACTAGGTAGGTAGTTTTTATTATACACCAGCCTGAGATTAATGCTTACAAAAATGAATTAGCACATGTTTTCTCTAAGCGTTGAAACCTGACACAGGGTAGATTATTCGCCTGTTAAATGTATTGGACTAGCCTCACCTCTGCTCCTTCTATACAGAAAGAAAAGAACAACACGCAAGCCATATTGCTTTGAGGGAGTTTAACTTGTATCATTTTAATTTGTCTAGGGGGTGTTACCTTTCGCTGTGGTAGGAAGCATGGAGGAGGTGAAAGTTGGAAAAAGGACGGTCAAGGGTCGTCATTACCCTTGGGGAGTTTTGCAAGGTAAATATGAAATCGTGTTTCACGGTGATTAAATCCGATATATACTGTGTCATTTATAGTCTCAAGACAGCATTTTGATCTGGGCAAGCATTGATAACCCCAGCTAATTTGTAGGTCAGTAGTTGCAAATGACACAAATTTTCTTTCATTTAAGCACCCAGTTAGAGCTGTGGTCCTCAGCCTTCCTAATGCTGTGATCCTTTAATACAGTTCTCCATGTTGTGGTGACCCCCAACCATAATATTTTTGTTGAACTTTGTAATTTTCTACTGTTATGAAACATAAAGTAAATATATAATATGCTGGATGTCTGATTTGTGGCCCCTGTGAAAGGGTCATTTGACCCCCAAAGAGGTCACGACCCACAGGTTGGGAACTTCTGGCTTAGAATCTCTCTCTCTCTCTGATCCTTTCCCATAGGAAATTGCCAGCATCTGGCTTAGACCTTATCTACCAAGTCCTTTGTTAACTGATGTGCCACATGCACATGGCATCTATCCTCCTGAAACATGCCATTCAGGAAAAGAACAACAGTCTCCAAAATTGAACTTATACTGGTTTTATTTTGACTAGTGGAAAACGAAACTCACTGTGACTTTGCGAAGCTCCGGGATTTGCTTCTGTGTACTAATATGGAAGATCTGAAAGATCTAACCCACACTCAGCACTATGAATGTTACAGGAGCAACAGGCTGCAGAAACTGGGCTTCAGTGATATGGGCCCAGACAATCAGCCAGTGAGGTGAGTGAAAACATGCTAGTGGGCTGGTGAGATGGCTCAGTGGTTGGTGGCGTTGGCTGCTCTCGCAGAGGACCCGGGTTCAATTCTCAGCACCCACACGGAGCCCTACAATGATCTGTGACTCTGGTCCTAGGGGGTCCAGCGCCCTCTTATGGCTAGTGTGGCCACCTGGCACGCACAAGCTATGCAGACATACGTGCAGACACACATAAAATTAAAAGTAAACAAAGCTTTAAAGAGAAGTCGCTGTTGCATATGAACTGATCATTTAGGATGCCCTAAAACCCACGAGGTATGCTCACTCAAGAACGAGGATGTGGCTCATCATGGACTTTTAGGTTTTTAATAGTTTTTGGACTCAGATGGAGACATGAGGAACAGCTTCAATGACAGGGCTCATTTATTTGCTGGAGCAGTGGTTCTCAACCTTTGGGCCGCGAGCCCTTTGGGTCAATTAGTAACAGTGAAAAGGCATCCTGCATATCAGATATTTACATCATGATTCATAACAGCAGCAAAATTACAGTTATGAAGAAAGCAATGAAAATAACTTTATGGCTGGGGTCACCACAACATAAGGAACTGTATTAAAGGGTCACAGCATTAAGAAGGCTGAGAACCACTGTGTTAGAGTGCATCCAATATTGCATGTTTTGAACTGTGAACTCCAGGGGAAACATGTTAAAAAAGACATTTGTGTTTGTGCAACGCAGAGGAGTGTTTAAGTATTAGCATTTATTAATAAAATTAACAAAGGCTTTGAGAAGAACTTGCCGGAAAATCATTGAAAAGCAGTTTTATAGGTTTGTGTTGGGGATGGCTCAACCGTTAAGAGCACTGGCTGCTCTTCCAGGGGTGGAGGGTGAATTCTCATAACCCACGTGACAGCTCACAGATGTTTGTAGCTTGGTTCCAGGGAATCCAACACCCTCACACAGACAAACACTCAGGCAAACACCAGGGCACATGAAATAAAAATAAGTAATAAAAAAAGAAAAGCAGTTCTCTAAAGTGTGGGAAGTCAAGTGGAAAAGCCTAAGAACAGAACATTTAGGTCTGAGTAATAACATTTTGATGTCAAAAGTATGTATAGTACTGTTAGACTATATCCATGTTGTAACAGTATGGCTTTCTGGAGACAACCAAAGCTGAACCATCTTTGTATGTGTATGTATGTGTATATGTATATATGTGCATGTGTGTTGTGAGACAAATTTTTTTTTCCTGGAGAGATGCAACACATACACATGCTTATATGCTCACATGCGCATACACACACACAGACATGCACACATGCATGCTCATGTACTCTGACCCCAGAAAGGGATCCCATGTGTAGGTTTACTTATAAGGAGCAAGGATAACTCATGATCAGAAAGCCCACTGCAGCCCTTAGCGGCACCTCATAGAAACTGCAAAACTGGGGCTCCCCTGAGCTTGCAGGCAACTCCATAGTCCAAACATATCTCTATCCACAGTCTCCACCCCCAGCAACTGTTGACTTTCTTGTACGTGGTTGGTAGGGGATCTCAGAAATCTTCTCATCCCTTCCTCCCTCCCTCCCTCCCTCTCTCCCTTCCTTCCTTCCCTCTTTCCTACCTTCTTCTTTTCTTCCTTTCTTCCTTCCTTTCTTCCCTCCTTCCTCTCTTTCTTTTTGTTCTTTTGCATATGTGACCTCCTGTTTACCACCCTCCTGGGTTCCCAACTCCCTCCTGGGGCAAACGTTTCAGTTTGTAGGGAATGTCATGATTGGGAGGACCCTGTGCTACAGTGACGTGTTTGTCACGGGGGGCCATGTTGAATGTCTTTGTCAGTCACTCCCCATCTTATTTTTTGAGACAGAATCTCTCATTAAGCCTGGACTTTGCAGATTTGTCTAAGCAGTGTGGTCAGTGAGCCATCCTCCTGATCTGTTTCCCCAGCCCTGGCCTTATAGGCATGTACTGCTGCAACACAGCTTTGATTGTTTTTTTTTCATTTGGGTTCTGAGGATCTAAACTCAGATATATGTGTGAGGAGGGAGCAGAGCCACTGACTGAGCCAGTGCTTCTCAACCTTCCTAATGCTGTGACCCTTTAATACAGTTCCTCACGTCGTGGTGACCCCCAACCATAGAATGATCTCATTATTCCTTCATATCTGTAATTTTGCTACTGTTATGAACCGTACTGTAAACAGCCACTGTGGGGGTTGTGACCCTCAGGTTGAGAACCTCTGCACCGAACCAGCTCCCCAATCCTGCACTATGTTAAGCTAATTATATTTTACAGGATACCTTGCTTGCTTTAATTGAATTATTTTGAAAACAGTTTCATACCTTTTTTTCCTAAAACTCTGTTGTCCAAAGATAGGAAGAAACAGCTAGTTGTGGTGGCGAATGCCTTTAGTCCCAGCACGTGGACAGAAGAGGTGAGTGAGTCTCTTTAAGTCAAGGACAGTTTGTTCTGCATAATGAGTCCCAGGAAAGCCAGAGCTGTATAGTGACACTCTGTCTCAAAAACAAAACAAACAAATCAACAAAACAAAACAAGCCACCACCACCAACAAAACCCAGGGAAATAAAATATCAAGTACAGGAGTAAGAAATCACTGATATAGGGTTTCAAATTTTAGTGGTCAGTCAGATACTCAAATAATTAATATCAGTTTTCACATCACATCATATAGAAATTTGTGGTGTTACTACACAGAATACTGATGTCACTTTAGAAACATAGATACATAGTTTACATGCTAATTCACATTAGCATTTAAAGTAATTTAAACATTTTTTTTACATTTATTTATTTCGTGTGCATCTGTGTGTGCACGCATGCAGAGGTCAGAGGACAACTTGCAGGAACTGATTTTTCTCCTGTCCTGAGGATCAGCTCATGCTCTGCAGCAAGAGCCCTTACCTTGCCGAGCTATCTCACTGGCCCCTTATTAGCATTTAAATATGAGAATAACAAACTTTCATTTTTAGTTTTCAAGAGATGTATGAAGCCAAAAGACAGGAGTTCCATGACCAGTGTCAGAGGGAGGAGCAAGAACTGAAGCAGACTTTCATACTACGAGTCAAGGAGAAGGAGCTGACCTTTAAGGATGCGGAAAAGGAGGCACGTATGACCCGTCTCACGTCCATTCTCTGTGTCCTGGGTGTCCTCTGGTGATGCATCCTAGAGATTAGTGGGTTTTTGTTCTGGAAACTTTCTATCTCTCTAAAAGCAGCAATTCAGTACCTAGGATCTTAATATAGCCTTTATGAAATGATAGCCTGAAATTATATTATTTTTCTTGAGCATTTTGAGTTTGTCTTTTGAATGCACCATGTCTCTGACATAACCGGGCAGGGGCTGCTCTCCTTCATCCAGCACCTCTTCCGCTGATAGCTCTCCCAGCATGGAACCTAATAGTTTGGGGACTGTCTTAATCAGGGTTTTATTGCTGTGGAGAGACACCTTGACCACAGCAACTCTTATAAAGGAAAAGCATGGCGGCATGCAGGTAGACACGGTGCTGGAGAGGTAGCTGAGAGTTCTACATCTGGATCCCCAGGCAACAGGAAGAGATTGCCAAATTGGGTGTGGCTTGAGCATCTGAGACCTCAAAGCCCACCCCTTAGAGATGCACTTTCTCCAACAAAGCCACACCTACTCCAACAAGGCCACACCTCCTAAGTGTCACTTTCCATGAACCTAGCAGGAAGGGATCTTGGGGGCTGCCCCATCTTCATAGCTCCATTAGGCATTGAAGTAAGTGGATTCCCTCTGTAGTAGCCATGATCCTGTGACAGCCTCCCCCGTCCCCCACTAACTATGATATCTTTTGAAACCCATGTGAAGACTTCTTGATCTCACAGCTCTTGCCTTGTGTATGCCCATAGAATTAGCATCATCTGTTAGAACCCAAGAGTTACAATTTGTACCTTCAAGAGCATCAGATGGAGCCATAAGCTGTACCTGGTCTCCCTTGAGATTGGCTGGAGGGTATTACTGAGTACTGGGGCAGAACACAGCAGTGAAGTCTGAGGTCCCTGGGACACCAGTCCAGAGAGTTTGCCTCAAGGCCTCCCAAACCCCCCAGGGCCAGTCCTTATTATATTAATCAATAAACTAGTTTCTAAATATATTAATCTTTTTAGCAAAGGGTTGTTTGGACATATCCTGAGTATTCTTTTGAAAACTTCCTTACATTGATGATTTTTACATACTAAACTTGAGCTAATTTCCCTAGTTGCGCTTTGTCGTGAATTCAATCTTTCATTTCTGTTCTCTCTCATTTTACTACATGCAGCTCTCTAAAACCACACAACACCTCATGTGCTTTGCTAATTAAGTGTCTCTTTTGCACTTACCACCAATCCTCAGGACCCAAATTCAATCCTTGGAGTCCACATGGTGGAAAGACAGAAATGCCTCTTGCAAGCAGTTCTCTCACAGGGCAGCTTCTGCTTACCCCACATCATCTGAAATAATGGAATAAACGTAATCATTTAATTTTACAAATTAGGGGAGGCTCGTTTCATACTAACTTCCTGCATTCGGTTTTAATGTAAACCAGAATGGAATCATCCATGCTGAATGATGTGTAATCTAATTAAGTTTCAAAATGGACCAGTTTTGTTCCAGCAAGGTGGCTCAGCATGTAAGGGTGCTTGATGCTGAGCCTGGTGACCTGAGTTAGATTCTGGAATCTCCACAGTGGAAGGAGAGAACCAACTACAAACAAAATCTCAAGAGACTATAGTCAACTTGAATTAGCATAATAAAACTTGGCTTTTAAACCTGGAAGAAAAGCAACTTTCCAACACCCATCTGGGTTTTGCTCCTGATTTCTGCTCTTTGTAGCCCTCTTCTGCCTTTAAACTCCCACTTTGCTCATCCCCTTGGCACCCTCATTATATTTCATATAATAGAATATTAATGTAGAATACTAAAATAATAAGTCCCTTAGCCTGGCCTGTTGCCCAACTCTAGAAACAGAAATAGAAGCCAATTATACTATGAAGCTTAGCTTTTGTAATTTTACCTTTTGACAGTCTTTGGGCTACTCCAAGGTGACTGCTAACACCTTCCAAACTTTGAGGAGTAGAGGAGAGGTGCCCTTGACCCCTTTTAAGGGCTTCTGTAATCTTTGCGGAAGCCCAAGGATTGTAAATACGTTTTTCTAGGGTCATCCTCTCCCTTTCCTGAGTCTTTGTGAGTCCAGGGTGACTTCTCATTTTATAGCTGCAGGACAAGTTCGAGCACCTGAAGAGAATCCAGCAAGAGGAGATCCTGAAACTGGAGGAAGAGAGAAGGAAACTGGAGGAGCAGATCATCGAGTTTTATAAAACGAAGGCTGCTTCTGACACGATGCAGGCTCAGGTGTGCAGCAACCTAAAGAAGGACAAAGAGCGTAAGAAATGACTTTCTCTTGCTAGCTTGTCAATCACCCTCTACCCGTATGTATACCCACGAGCTTGTCTTCGTAGCACTTAACTTTGACTGGAATTCTGATTTTTATCAGCAATTATTCAGCACGTGCCATTCTCCGTAAGAGTGTCAGATACTGGGGAGGAAGACATCTTGTGTGTCTTGTTGGATGATGAAACATAGACTAGCACTCAGTAGTAGCCAGGAAATGCTTTATTAATCAGAATAGCCAAGAAGTATGTAGCATAGTATAAACAAATATGGGCAACAGAACACATTCCTTTGCCAGAGCTTTGACTCCCGTGGTGATTTTTACAATTCCTGTCTCCTTAGAGTTTTTCCTTTATGTTCCTGTGTGTATTTTTGTTGTTGTTGTTTGTTTTTGAGGCAGGCTTTCACTGTGTAGTCCTATTTGGTCTGCAACCCTGTGTGTGTGTGTGTGTGTGTGTGTGTGTGTGTTTGAGACAGGATTTCTCTGTGTAGCTTTGGTTGTTCTGGGCTCACTTTATAGACCAGATTGGCCTCTGCCACTCTGGCCTCTCCCAGAGTGCTGGTATTACAGGTGTGCACCACCGTACCTGGCAACCTGCAACTCTTCTATGTAGAGCAGGCTGGTCTTGAACAGTGATCCTCCTGCTTCTGGCTACTGAGTGCCGGGATTATGAGCATAAACCACCATAGTTGGCTCTATTGAATTTTCTTCAGGATGCATTGGCATAAAATATTTTTATGAAAGGTAATTATTAGTTATTCCCTTATCAAATTCTACTGATAACAATTCTTGCTAACTGTAATTGCAACACAGCATTATGTTTTGATTAGACTGTCTATGCATCGGCATCAGACATGTTGAAGTATAAAGTGAAAGATTCAAAACCGAGATAGGAATAGAATAGAGCGCTAATTTTATGCTTTTGAAGATTCTGGCTTATGTTAAAAGCTTAGTGAATATACAGTATAGGATTTTTTTTTTCCTGTTTAAAAACCTCCCTTCTGATCTTATATCCTGAGGGCTTTTTAGAATTTAAATGTTTTTTTTTTTCACTTACTTATTTGACATTTTGGTGGTGAGCCCAGGATTTAAAGGCTGAACCATCTCTTCAGCCTCAGTTGTTCGTTTGAATGTGGTTGACCTTCACCATGATTCATTCTGTTACAGTGCAGCCGCTGAGGGCCTTTGTCTCTGTGTACCTCAACTACATTTAGATCAATACTTTCTCATGGTCCTGAGTAAATACAGTGCTAATGAAATTTTAACACTGTATACATTTCAAGTGTGGCATTTAAGGCTTTTGCTATAAAGACTCAAGATACTTTAAAATTTATATGCATGATGTCATGATGCTTGATGTGAAAAGTAATGAGAAAAAATCTACAATTAGTCTCACATATGTTGGTAAGCCATCTTAAGATTGGAAGAGAAAGAAATGTAATACATGGATATTGTAGTGGAAACCATATAAGAAAAAAATTTGTTCTGATCATTTCTATAGCCATTCCTATGTAGAATGTAGAACAATTCTTGACACACAGTTAGTGGTGTAAATAACTCCAGTAGTCGTGTGTTACCTGTATGTGTGCATGGATAGTTTAATTTAGATAACTGACTTTTAAATGCATTATAGTGTATCACTGCTTTTCAATGTAGCTGTGAGTTTTTTGCTGAAATACTTTCGCATTGCCATTCTTTAACCTTAATGCAGTGTTTTTAAAATGGAAACCAACAAAATTAGATACATAAAATCAATAAAATTCATGTTGTGTCTTAGTTATTTTTTTCACCCCTCTAATCAAATTACTTTATAATGGTAACTTAAAGAAGAAATCCCTATTTCAACTGCATACAGGGGTCCAGTTTATTATGGTTGGGAAGGAATGAAGGCCAGCTCACTTTCCATCATGTTGGCTTAGGAAATAGAGATCAAGACAGAAAGTAGCTAAGATACATTCCCGGTAACCAACTTCTTTTAGCTCTTTCACATTTCCTGAGGCTTTCTTGACCTCCCAAAATAACATAACCAAGTGAGTCCCAAGCATGAAAAACATGAACATAGAGGGAAAATTCCAGATTCAAGCCTCAGCATTCTCTCAGTGGACCAAGATGGAGTGGTCATCTCATAAAACAAGATGGATTTAGTCCATTTGCAAAAGTCCCCAAGCCATACCAGGTGTCACATTTTCCAAAAGTCTAAGTCCATAGTATTTTCTGCCTCTAAAAACAAACTTCTTACTGTAATCACCTGTCAAATTATGTAAATAAAAAAAACAAGATTATATATCCAAGATAAAATATCAAAGATCAAACCTCTCTAAAGAGAGGCGTTGGAAAGGTAGAAAGGAGAGATTGGGCCAAACCAACACTGAAACCAGCAGAGCAAACTCCATGTTCACCATATGGGGCACATGTTGGGATTATCTGGATTTCAGTGGGTGTGGTCAGCCTCATCCTTGTGGCCTTGCCATGTGGCCTATATCTTAGGCTGGCTTCATTCATGCCCTGTTCCGTTGCTTAGAAAGCATACCTCGTTTTCTGCATCTCCAGCATTGATGTTTTGAAGCTTTAGGCCCTCCTCTTTGTGGTCAGGCTTAGTTGCAACAGCCACGCTTCTCTGGTACCAATTTCCTTTATTAGTCCCTGTCTTAGTTACTTTTCTATTGCTGTGGTAAAGCAAAGCACCATTGCCAAGGCAATGAAGGAAGGAAGGGTTTATTTTGGGTTAATGGGTCCAGAGGACTAAGAGTCCATCATTAAGGCGGGAAGTGAGGCAGCAATCAGGCATGGCAGCTGGAACTGAGAGCTAAGGCCTTGCATCTTGAACCACAGAGAGGAAGCAGAGAGTGAACTTAAATGGTACACCTCATTAAACTCTGAAGGTCTGCCTCTAGGGACATACTTCCTATAGCAAGGTTTCACCTTCTAGGCTTCTTCAAGCATCACCAACTGGGGACCAAGTATTCAAATGCCAAAGACTGCGGGGGACATTTCTCAGTCAAACCACTGTAGTGTGTTTTCCGTCACTGTGGACAAGTTACGTGACCCAGACAACTTGTAAGAATAAAGATTTTTGGCCAATGGTTTTTAATAGCTCAGTCTGTCATGGTGTGGGTAAAGCGCTTCAGTTCACATCGTGGAAGGCGGGAAACAAAGATACAGACGGGAAGAAGCCAAGGGTAATACACTGCAGAGGTCCCACCTTTAGTGTTCTGCTTTTCCGGATGGGCTCTGCCAAGCAAAGCTTCCATAATGTCCCCAAAACACCACCACGAGCCAGAGACCGATCGTTCAAACCATGGCCTTGATGACATTTTTTATTGGAGCCACAACACCGGGTGAAAACTGTACCTCTGCCACATCCCATTACTTCATGGAAGTAAATATGTACACAAAAGACACACAAGCATGTGCTCATGTCGGTCTTCATGCACACTTTGTCGTGATTGCATGTATATGCATGCTAGATTGTCCATAGCGGTGCTTATGAGTTCTTATTCTCCATGTGTGTATGTACCGGTAAGACACGTATGTGCTCACATTAACACGTGTTTGAGTGCTTCAGGACCCTGGCATCAGCCAAGCTGGAAGAGACAGGCTCTATCGTACATCTCTCCTCTACTTGGGCCGAAGAGGCCAGCACCTGGTACCTGGAGCCTGTTGCCCGAGAATGGGAAGACTCTACAACAGGACACAGAGACTGGCAAGCACCAATCGAGGCTGACTATTGGTTTGATATTAATGACGGGTAGAATTGTATAGTGAGCAATTACCAAGTTTTATTTCTTTTGTTGATCTTCATGCCATCCAAATTACTGAGTAAATTATTAATCCATTAATAAGTCAAAAATATGATTATGAGGTAATTTCTTCTCCTTGTCAAGTATTGTGTGAAGCATGTCTGCTTCACACAAGAAGTAACATACTATAAATGTTATTAAATAATAGCCATACTCATGTTGCTTTAAATGATGTGTCAAGCATTTAAAGTAGAAGCGTGAGGTGTGCTTTTCAGCAACATTGATAATTTCTTAATTGGCATGTTTCTTATTTTAGCATTTATGATACTATTTTAGCATATATAATAATTTTAGCATTTATAATAACCATTTTGATTTCCGTAAATGTTCTTGTCTATTTTCCTATCATGTGTTGCTTAACAATCATAATTTGGATTTCATAAAAGAGAAATGTCTTCCAGCGACGGTAAGAGTGGTAGTCTGAGGCTGGAAGCGTGGATTGGTGATTAAAAGCATATACCGCTGATGCGGAGGATTCTAGTTAGAGTCCTAGTGCCCGCATCTGGCCGCTTATCACTGTCTGTAACTCCAGCTCCAGGGAGGCTCAATGCTTCTGGCCTCCGAGAGCACTTGCACTCACACGCAGGTATCGACACCTATACACACAATACGATACAATAAATCTTTAAAATTTAATTTGGTTGTAAAATTAACTGGCATGAGACATTATTTGTACTAGGAATAACTGGGTAGCACACCTTTAAAGTTTGCTTAGGGTATGTTTCAATGCCTGAGAAAGTTGAAGCAACTAAATGTGGAAAATGGCTTGAAGTGTTAGCACGATTTAACATGATTGTCAGTTGTTAAAAGTACATGAAATGTTAGGTAGTGGTGGTGCACGCCTTTAGTCCCAGCACTCGGGAGGCAGAGGCAGGTAGATGGATCTCTGTGAGCTTAAGGCCAAGCTTGCTCTACAGATTGAGTTCAGGGCTACATGGAGAAACCCTGTATTGAAAAAGGAGTGTGTATGTGTGTGTGTGTGTGTGTGTGCGTGTGTTGAGGTGGGGAGGAGGTTGCAAGTGAAAAGCCTTACACTATTCATTTTAGTTTATAATAAAAACATTTAAATAAAGCTATACCTGACCTAGATCAGAAAAAAAAAATCTGAATTTGCTCTCCAGTACCCATATAAAAAAGACGGGAGTGGTGAACCAGTTGTGGAGAGGGGCCCGCTGGCAAGCCTAGGCCGGCCATTCCCCAAG